CCCAAAGGCTTGTAATTCATTTTTTACCTCAATACATCTGCCAGCGGTTTTCCAAAATACTCTAAGAGATAATTCTTGATTGATTCACTGACATTCATACCGTGCGCTTTCGTCCACTCCTCGTTCATACCACTGGTTATGTTGATGTAGAATTTTGGAGACAGGAGAAATGTCGTGTACCACTCTTTTAATACTCCTTAAAGACAAAAATGATTTATTTTAGGGTATGGAAGGGTTGGTTCAGTCCTCTTTTCTCCATGAGCACTATATAAAAAAAACATTTCAGCTGATTACTTTTGATGACATGCATATATACATGAAATGCATGCTACCATTCACATCTCGCTTCTAGCCTGTTAAACTGTCAACTCAGTCCTTGATTGCATTGTTACGTAAAAGAAGTATTTACAACTTCTCATCAAAATGTTCTTGAAATGTATGCTCGTGTTGATATATATTTTCTGCATCGACATCGAGGGGGGGCAGCGCGCATTCCGGCTTTTCTTAACCCTGGTCCCAATGTTTTCGAAATTCCCCGTTTCAGACATTCATGACGTCACAAAATCGCGAGATCAAGGGAGTGGTTCTAGAAGCGGAAACCTTCTTATTTGGCAGACGACACTTTCTGATAGCACTACAGTTGGTTCTGTGTACATCCCAACTTTGCAGTCAATTGACTTCTTCATAGTTTTGAAACCGGAGCACTACCCCTCCCTCCACACATCACACATTTTGCCTATCGTGTAACCCCTGCGCACACGATCCCGAAGAACACTTTCGATGGGTGTCATGTGTGCTAGGCTGCAATTTTCCACATGTAACTCTACCTTTTGCACTATTGAGAGAAATCTGCGGGTGCTCAATCTTAAAGGCGTCCAGTCCAGCTTTACACGACTCAATGTTCCTGACCATCCCCTTCCTCACGCCCATTTTCAAATTCTCCACATACTGGATGAGCGCCTTCTGATGGGACATAAGCTTAGATTTGACAAGTTCTACATCTTTAAGGTTCTTAGGGACGTGATATAACATTGAATTATACAAGTCATAACCCATGTAGCATATTGTACTGTAGCAAAATGAATCCSGGCCAAGCATCCAATCCCCCGCATAGTAATTCACTTCGAATGGCTGTCCAAATACTTGCTGGAGGTATAACATAGCTTTAGAGTAAGCCTTTCTTTCTCTTCCCTTAAGTTTTTCAAGTGAAATGTCCAAAGACTTCATTTCTTTTAAAAGCCTAAACGATGCGTCAGTTCGTCTCTTGATGGCTTCGGGTGAGGGGTCATAAGAAATGTAAATAGCCTTGATTTGATCTGAAAAGTCATCCTTATACCACAAGTCGGAATTATAATGGATTTTGAAAGGATGTAATTCATAGTACATTGCCTTAACTTTGTCCAAAAAAGTTCCAAATCCACTACGCTTTGCTTCTTCGGATAGCTCACACGAGCGTCCACGTTTCTCGATTTGCGTGGTAGCGGTAGGAGACGGCTCRCATCGTTGCTGGAAAGTCCCAAAGATTACTCCTCCAGCGATCAGTAAAATCACRCCTAGAACCAAGCCTGACAAGGCTATGCATAATGACTTAGACGGGTTAAATCCTAGTGCTGTCCGTGCCATTGTATTAAAGATTGTTTAGGAGTTTCTCAGCGTTTACTATCTGTAGAGCGGTTGACTGCATTGTTGTGTCTGATTAATATCTAAACAACTATCTATATCTGTCTGTTTACTATATAAATAAATAGTTCCATGCTGTGCAGTGTTATTTTAACTGTGAAAACCG